TATATATATATATATATATATATATATATATATATAGTTTTATATAACTATTGAATATTATTTTCTTCAAATAATTTCTTTTCTCTAAGGATTTTAATGGATATAAGAAATACATACACAAGTTTCATGGAAACACACTCTATGGCTTTATCTGAACTTATCATTTCTACCGAAAATTTCAATTTCTCACATATTAGCTCGAACTTTTTTTGAACGCTGAAAATACGACTGGTCATACGATAGATATAATATATAATGTATTTACATTATACTAGTACAATATATCTACATATATCAAAAATATGTCGGAAATATATTCTTTACTGAAATTTTTATACGTACGTATTTATTTAACACATAGAGGATGCATCTAATATTACAACCGCTCATTTAACTGTATTGAAATTTATTGTATATATTTGTATACGTTTATGTCTATGCGTGTGAAATTATATTAATTTCTTAATTTTTGACTCTCAATTTTTGTTAATAATTTTAAACTACATATTTTCCTAGCAATGATAGGTGGGTGTATCGCAATGCGTTGCTTACTTTTTTTTTTTTTAAGTACTTATATGTTTATAGTATATTTTCTCTTTCTTCTAAAATTCTTTTTTAAAGATTAATGTTAACTTTTAACATTTAATATTTATCATATAACTTTTCACTTCTAGTTGACACAATATTCTGATATCATTGTTTCTTTATTGAACATAATATTTCTCTAATTTTGTTTTTATCTGTGACTGACATCATTTTTTTATTTAATTTTTTATATACTACATTAAAACAATGATATCTATTCAGAAAATTAGCTTTTCTCGTTATTGGTATTCAACAGTGACCGTCTTCGTCTTCAGATATTCGTTCAAGGCTTCTTGTCCCAAGTCCTTTCCGAATCCCGACATCTTGAAACCGCCGAAAGGAGCAGCTACATCTGTCTTGTTATAAGTATTAATGAACACAGTGCCAGCTTGAACTTTTTCCGCAAACTCGAGAGCTTTGTCAATATTTTTGGTGAGGACTCCCGAGGCCAAACCATATTCCGTGTTGTTCACTCTGGCGATTAGCTCATCCATGTTGTTCCGATTAAACTTGGAAATCAACATAATCGGGCCGAAAGACTCTTCTTTGGCGATATACATGTGATCCATCACATTTACAAAAATAGTTGGCTCAAAGTACCAACCCGGGCGATTCAATCTCTTGCCACCATAGACCAAGTTAGCACCTTCGCTCACTCCCTTCTGCACGAATATTAGGAGTTTCTCCAAATGAGCCTTGTGATTTTGCGGTCCATGAGCTGTACTTCTGTCTAAAGGATTGCCGATGGATATTTTCTTCATTTCATCGACCACTCGTCTCACAAATTCATCGTGTATAGTCTCCTCAACGAAGAGTCGTCCAGCAGCTATGCAATTCTCGCCCTTGTTGAAGAAGACGCTACTCATGCCAATCCTAACTGCTTGCTGCATGTCAGCATCGTTGAAGATAACTAAAGGACTCTTTCCACCAAGCTCCAAAGATACTCTCTTTAAATTACTATTGCAAAATTTCATGATAGTCTGGCCGACTCGAGTGGAACCAGTGAAGCCCAGCTTTCTAACCAGCGGATGCTGTACTATGGTATTTCCGACGTCAGTCCCATATCCACAAACGATGTTAATGACGCCCCGGGGGATTCCGGCGAGGGCGGAAAGCTCGGCGAATTTCAAAGCAGTCAATGGAGAAACTTGAGCAGGTTTCATTACCACAGTGTTACCAGCTGCTAGACAAGGTGCCATCTTCCATGAAAGCATCATTAATGGGTAGTTCCAGGGGGTGATTAAACCGCAGACGCCAATTGGTTCTCGTCTTGTGAAAGTGAGGTTACGATTTGGACGCGCGTGTGAAATAGGTATGGTAGTGCCCTGAATCTTGTCACACCATCCGGCGAAATATCGCCAGGTTTCGATAGACATGCCTACGTGAGTCTTCAAGGCGAGAGTGTAAACAGCTCCAGAGTCTAAGCTTTCTATTGTAGCTAATTCTTCTTTGTGTTGTTCCATCAAATCCGCTAATCTAGAAAATGAAGTATAAATGTGAGGAGAGATAACTGGACAACACGATCTTGTTATATAAATAGATTACGCACAAAAATTACGAGAGTACTTCTGACCACAAAAAATAAACTAAATTCAACAGAAACTTTCGAAACAAGTAACGGTAATGTGTATGTGTGTATATGTATGTATGTGTGTGTGAAGTAATTCAGAAGGTTTTTTATAGTTCTTAGATAAAAATAAAGTCATAATATTGTCCTTTTCCACTAAAGTATATTTGAATAAAAAATGTTAATAAGAATTTGTAATTAAGTTTTTACGTTGAGGACTTACTTATATTGAAGAAATTAAATATATATGTCCTATTTTTGAAACATAGAAACATAGTTTCAAAAAGAAAACTTTAAGCTTTTCCTAATTTTCTAACAAACATTGCACACCGATTCTTTCACTTTCTGTGAGTGATCAGAGCCAAAAGGATGCTTTTTGTGTGCATGTTAAATGATCCGATGAAGAAAATAGTTGCACAGCTATTAGCGAGTACATGAAGCAAAGGGAATGTTACTTCGCTCCCCAACTGCTGATTGGTGAACGGGGCCAGACGCTGCTTTTAAGAAACTTATCTACTGTATCACACGCGATCATATGTCACTGTTTTTCAATTAATAACTTAAAATTTTACATAGTTATTCATAAAATAGTGTAGAACTTATTTGTTTAGTTTCATCCAATTTACATGCACACGAGAAATGATTATATTATCGTCAGACACTTTTTATGTTCGAAAACACGCGGCTGAACGAAATACTAGAACTTTTTCCTTACTTCTAATTAGACCTTTCTCTTGTAAAATATTTCATTCATATATTCATGTGTCTATACTAAATGTTGAGATAAGCATATAAAAATGCATGGGTCTAATTTTGTTGCTATTTTACAACGTATAAAGTCGATGAGAGATGTTTTTGATGGTTTCTTCTTCAGTAGGGTAGCAAATAAATTATTGTCTTACTTGAATAATAGTGCACCTCGTTCCCTGGCACTGATTTTACCCCACTCGCCCTTTTCAAAGGCCTCTTTGGCGGCTTTGACAGCTCGGTCAACATCTTCACTGTTTGCACTTTCCACCGAACAGATAACGCTCTCATCATGAGGATTTATAGTATTGATAGGTTTGCCGTGGCCATTGACGAACTCGCCATTGATGAAGAGTTGTTTAGGGAATCGTAAGACCATATTATTTGCTTGTATTTCTACCGCGTCATACTTTATTTCCTTCAAAGCTTCATTTCCTCGAGAGGCCAGGACGACCGTTTTAGCGAAATCGATGAAGGCTGGTGCCATGAATACGTCAATATTCTGCAGGGTGATGTTAAAATTCTCTTTAACTTCCTCAATTAAACGTACTACATCCATGCTACCACCGCCTAAGACAGAAATGCACATTCTGGTCAGAAGTACGTAGAGAGAACGATTTGGTTGAATCAAATAAACGCTTCTTTGGAATAGTCCTAATGAATTTTTCGATTAATCGAACAAAATTTTGTTTGAAGCAACAAAAATATTTATTTGCGGCTTAGTTCCAAAGAAATATTTTTGTTGTGTCAACCAAATAATTTGTTTGGACTATTCCAAAGAAACATTTATTTGATTCAATAAATCGTTCTCTCTGTGTATACAGAGTATATTTAAAAGTTATTTGATTAGTAAATACTTCATTTTATTTATTGTTAAATGTTATAAATAGATCAGTGCTTTTATTGGAATAATTAAACGCAGTAATTTACACTTAAATTTAAACATATAATATCGAAATGATTTTCCCGCAATAAAACCTTCAACTTACCGGAAGCAAAGAAATCTGTGTCATCCTCGATATCTATTTTAAGTATATTCTCCCAAATTCGGCGTAAATCGTCAGCAGTCTTTAATTCTTCCTCAGTAAAGTCGACAACGCTGCTATTATCAGCTTGCCCATATTTACTGGCGTGAATAGTTTTGGTGCCGATCTTGATTCTCTCCACATTAATAAATCGTCCATCAACAGTTTTGATTAGTAATCCACCCTGATGAATGTTTCCCCTTTGCTCCGCAAGTTCGACTTCGTTGATAATTTCTGGCAGTCTGTCGGTATTCCACAAGGATGATCCGAAGAGACGGACCTCTTCGCCGTTTATCGTTGTCCAGGCACCTGGTGTGCTATCCAGACCACGAATAAAGTTGTGTATCTCTTCCGCCGGTTTGGTCCAATCGATTTGTTGACTCTCCTTTTTATTCAACATCGGATCATACGTTGCACCGAACTCGGATTGTGGTATTATAGGAGCAATACCTTTGGCTACGAGGTCCACGGCCTCGCCCATCGCCGCGATACCTTCTGGATAGAGAAAGTTGTTGTACAAGCTATCCACTGTATCATTTGGTTTCACCTTGCAAGATTTCTGTAGCAGAATCGGCCCGGTATCTAGACCGTCATCCGCCCAAAAGACCGAAAATCCGGCGGTGTTATCTCCTTGGATTAGAGTCCTACAGAATAGATTAATAAAATTTAAAATCAATGCAATTGTCAAGTTTTTTTTAGATGTACACACAATCCAGGAAGAATCAAACAAATCAATAATTCCAAATATTAGTTGCGAACAATTAATTGTTATGGTTTTATTAAACGTTAAACAATATTTAAAACTTTTTAAGAGTCAACCAAATTTTTTAGTTGTATTTTTAACTTTCTTTAGTGACAAAAATGCTTGTACTGTAGGAAGCAAACAGTTCGGTCGCTTTCGCAGAAGTGTCTCACGATCATTATAATGATCTATAATTTATTATTGACATATACGAGAATAAGATGCGTTTCCCTATTTTTTTTAACGTACGCAGTATTTACTCCAAAAAAATATGTATTCGAAATTATTAAACTGAAAATATAAGAATTAGAAATTCACGCGTTATAAATGATTCGACAAATATTTGTATAAGATATTTGTATATTATAGACAGTAGTTAAATATTTTTTTAAACTTATAGAAATATTTTTTGAATTAATTAATTTTAATGGAATATTGTCGAATGTATTTTCGATTGTTTATATTTTAATACTTAATATTACCTTAAATTATCTAGTATTAATAATATATCTTAACGTCCGAATATTATCTAATATTATCCTTAATATTATTATATGTTCCGGTTAGTTTTAAGGGTTCACTGTAGATAGCTATAGTTACAAATCTACTGGAAACATTTTGAAAATGAGTACGTCATGTAGCTAAGATCAAAGTCAAAGCTAAGATATCTTTACAAACAAATTGACACATGTCCTGTGCATTCGTAAACATAAACACACTGTTTAGTGCGACTAAACATGGAACGTGATAAAGAGCATTTTCGGTGTCTAGTACTTTATTGCTTTGACTCAAAGAAAACAGCTGCCGAAGGGCATCGATTCATCTCAAAAACTTATTCTGAGTCTGCTCCATCAGTTAAAACGTATGAGTACTGGTATTGACGATTTAAAAGCGGTGATTTTGATTTAAAAGGCAAAGAACAACCAAAAAAGTTCAGGTCAACCAAAAAAGTTCGAAGAATTTGCAGGCATTGTTGGATGAAAACTCAGTTCAAACACTTCAAGAATTAGCTACGACATTAAATGTTGGTAAATCAACCGTTTCTGATCGTTTACACGCAATAGAAAAGATTAAAAAAGAAGGCAAATGGATTCCAGACGAATTGTTATTCAGAATCGTTTAATCATTTGCATTTCATTGCTTTCTCGTCACAAAAAGAAGCAATTTTTGTATCAAATTGTAACTGGCGATGAAAAATGGATATACTAATTCTAAGCGTAAAAGATCGTGGGTAGATCCAAGTCAATCGTCGATATCGACTCCAAAACGCAATATCCATGGAAGTAAGGTTTTGTTATGCATTTAGTGGGACATGAAGGGCATCGTGTATTATGTTGCTGAAACAAACTGAATCAAACAATCACTGCTGAACTTTATCAACAACAATTAATTGATTTGAATCGTGCTTTGAACCAGAAACGTCTAATAACAGCTCAAAGAAAACGCAAAATGATTTTGTTGTACGACAATGTTCGACTACACGTTGCAAAAGCAGTTAAAGATACGTTATCGGAATTTTAATGGGAAGTCTTACCACACGCCGCGTATTCATTAGACTGTGCTTCTTCAGATTATTTATTTCGATCGATGCAGCACGGCCTTACTGATCAACACTTCAAAACATATGATGCAATAAAGAAATGGCTCGATGAATGGATTGCTTCGAAAGACGAACATTTCTTTTACTGCGGAATTCACTTATTGCCAGAAAAGTGAGAAAAATTTGTAGCTAACGGTGGAAAATATTTTGATTAAAATAATTTAATGTCTCTCTAAAATATACGTGTTTCTTTTTTGTACAAAATTTCTCAAAACTAACCGGAACACTTAATATAATCAAGAAAGAATCAAATAAGCTAATAAGATGCTAATAAGAGCCTAATAAGATGCAAAGTATTGGTTACGAATATTTTATTAATTAATTATTATAGCTTAGACAAACGTTAAACATTGAACAGTAGTTCTTAAGAATCAACAAAACGTTTCAGTCGATGTTTTAGTTTATTTTAACGTAAAAAAAACATAAAGTTCACATTGTACAGGAAATTAATCAGCAATCATAAGATAAAAAGTTACTAAACAATGAATATATATAAGAATACCAATCAAACCTATAGAATAAGAAATAGGATAACAAAAACCATACAAATGAAGCAAACAAACGAACAGATAACACTCATTTAACAAAGCAACATCAGTATAAGATTTTAATTTGGAGTCCAAAAGAGAAATTATGATTAAAATATTTGCTTGATTCTTAAGTAGATTGCTGTTCAACGTTTAACGTTTTATTAAACTACAATTAATTAAATAGTTGTAACTGCTATTTTGCGTAAGCTTTCATTAGCTTGTTTGATTTTTTTAAACTGTAAGTGGAGGCTGGGGATTAAACTGATCCAATCGCATAAACAAATAAATATTTTTCTAAATCATATTATTTAAAGAAATATTTTTTAATATAGACACTTTTTTAGTATGGACACTTTTAGCTTTTAATACTTAGAAATCATTATTTCATGTTTAACATATATTTTAGTTTATAACTACTTATAGATAAAAATGAAAGATTTTACTTACAAAAACCAAATTTAAGTAAATTAAAATCAGTTAAATTGATTGGTTAAATTGACTCTCCCACGCAAGCACTTGGATAAAAAAAGACACAAGTTTATTTAAGGATTAAAAATGAGATGTTATCGTTTGTATTGATGCACAAGGTGTTGAAGAAAAAAAAAACAAAAATTTTATAGACACATAATACCGATAATACACACGAAAGTATTTTAACGACGTGCATCGAAAAGCTGACTTTTTTCGGAGATAAACGATTCTATCTCGGTTATATAATACTGGTAAATCGCATTTTTAAATATTTTAAAAGTACTCATTCTTATTTATGTGCAGATAAGCGCAAATATTTACGCAAAATATGAGAGAGATACGTTGAAAGTGCGGATAAGGCAATATCGATTGATAGGTCGAAAACAAAATTCGATACGACAGTGCGTCCAAACAGTGGGAGGAATCATACAGTGAGTTCGTGGTCATACATTATAGCTATTATCGTTGGCATATTTTCAACGAGAAAGTAGTTTCGTTCTGCAATCTAGAGCACGAAAACCGCAGCAAACCGGTTATTGCCACGCGCGCGGCAATATCTGGCGATATCGTAAAACGCGATATTGCACTGACCTGTATATAACTAATATGTCACACGATTTATTAAGCTGTAAAGCTGATAAGACAGACAGAGAGAGAGAGAGAGAGAGAGAGAGAGAGAGAGAGAGAGAGAGATTAACAAATTTTTTTCCAACATTAGAATCATGCGCTAACGTAAATTGATATCGAGATAAGACTCACCAGCTTATGGCACTTGCTCCTCTGTGCCTTGGTAGCAAGGATGGATGATAGCATATGCTACGATGGCGGGGATGATTGATGACCTCCATGGGGATAAATTGACTACAGAAAGGGAGAACATTGAGATCTACTTCGATGCTCCTATATAGTTCCAAAATCTCGGACAAGGGTACGCCCTTGCTTCTCCAAGCCTTGATTTTGAAAACCGGCGTGTTATCGACCTTGGCAGTGGACGCTGCAATTTAAACAAGTGATAACGAAGTAGGTACAAATGCAAAAGAGACAGGCAGCTACCCTGCATACTTCGCCTTGTATTCACAGAATTTTCTATTTTAATAGGAGCGTCCTGTCCATACCTAAAGGATCCTCGCGATTTCCTTTATCCGGGATCGTAAATACTCCCGTGACCTGATGTCCATTTTGACGCAAAAGTTTATAAACTTCTGCTGCAAAAGGACTTTGTCCGATGATAGCCACTTTGAGTTGTGCCATCATCGACTGTAATTGTAAAAGATTTCTATTAAAAAATTTATAGATGTTTATAAATTATCTTCATTTTTGAAAATTTTGTTAACATTTTAATCGAAATAGATATAAAAATAGATATAAAAAATGTCATACACTTATATATTTTACTAAACTGTACCAGCATTATTTTATAATAGTATATTATTATATAGTAATGTTTATATTGATCACACATTATGCAACCACATAAATTATTGAATTACATAGGTCTGTGTTATTAATTAATAAATCACTTTCTATCAAGCATTTATTATGACAGCAGCAAAATTTTAAAATTTCTGTAACTACATAAGCATTGAGAGTAGGATCTATGTTTATATTTTTTATTTAGAATCTCCCAAGTAATCTGTCGAAGTTTGTTATACGTTACACGTTACTCGTTCTGAATCACTTTATATATAGGGAGTTTGACGATAAGTTAACTAATATTCATATAGATTCGGACGAAATGAACATAAAAAAAAAATACTGTCGTAACGTTATTCTGCCTTTTGTTGGTTGTGAATTGCGAAACGCGAGTTTAGCGTCACTTCTATAAAGCTTATATACTTCCACAGCATCGTATGTGATCATCTGGCAGTCTTTTTTAATTAATAATTCAACAATTTACACGATTGTTTGCGAAATGAAACTTTTTTATTTCGTTTGATGAGTTCTATCTGCACACGAGCATTATATCAGACACCCTGTATATGTGAAATTATAATTTCATAAAAGTGATGTATTGGAAAGTTAAAATACAAAGCTATACAGGAAGTTTTTTTCATGAAAATGAAAACATTATCTAAAAAAGAAGCTATTCAATATTTGTATACTGTATATTTATATACTGAATTGTTTTAAATTTTTAATAGTTAAGATTTTTAGTAAAGAAAGAAAACGAGAGTCCTTTGAACATCCAGCTTTTTAACATTGAAAAAATCGGAAATTTTTAAAAAATTTAAAACTATTCAGTAACAATGACATAATGCTCGTGTGTAGATAGAACTCATCGAACGGAATTTATTTACAAAGAAAAAGATTCAGAGGCTCAGAGGCCTCTATTTTTTATAACCCGATTTTATATTTACGATCTTCGTAAATTCACATCTCAGGGCACAATAAGTCTGATAATGCTATGATTGTCATACCAATTGATTGCTGTACGAGCTGTTTCGTTCAATTCATTTTAAGATAGATTTAAGACGAACATTGGATTTTAAGATATCTAATCACATAAAAAAGAAAAATGAATATAAATTTGTGAGTAGATAAATCTGTATATTAGTAATATCAAACTAAGTATAATCGTACATATTAACAAGATGTCTGTGTTGATTTTTTCATTTTATTCCTCTTCCATAAATAAGGATTTTTTTTCTGAACAAAGAAAAACGAAATTCAACACGCTCAAAGCCTACAAGAGAGTAAAAAAATGCGGTTTGCCTTTTAATGTTGAGTTTTTGCATGTTTTTTTATATCATCATAAAAATAGTGTATTTTATTTGACCATTGAAAATCCAAATAATAGGACGATCCAAGTAATAGAATCCAACCCAAATCGGTAATATAGACTGTCCACGTATGTTTAATATATATGATTACACTTCAAAGTTAAACATAAATGGATCATGAATTTAAGCTTATAAACTACAGGTTAAATATTAGAGCCTTTAATATTTAACTACTAGCTTTTTTATGTAATTTATTTGGTTCATATATGTGCATATATATAAATTACTTTACATTCACCAAGATCCACATACCTGTTTCAGATTTAGTCAGTTGTGGATTACACTAGTAGTAGTATTGAGTAAGCTGTAAGTAAATGTACAATTATAAAGCTAATTTACAAAATAGATTACAGAATATGCAAAATAAAGCTTCTTATTAGCAGCAATGTTAGTATAAATATTGCTATTTATAAAAAATATTTTACATTTCTTAAATATATATTTCAGAAATGAGAATTATATATATATATAATATATAGAATATTATATATTATATAATTATATTATATATATATATATATTATATATATAATATAATTATATAATATATAAACGAAACTAAGAAAAAATGTTTGGTATTTATAATTATAATTATACAAGGGAATAATTATTATAAATTATGGTAAAAAAATCATTTTTTAATTAAATTCTACTATAATATTAGTGATAATAACTTTATATGCATGTTTTTACTATTTTATTATAAAAAAATATTTTCGTTTTGTTATAAAAAAATATTGCAGCTAAAAATAACTACAATTTTAGTTAGATCTACCATTTTTCTCTTGATGTATAGTACGTTGCATATTATACAATTAAAAATAATTCGTTTTTTTTAATATGATAATATATAGAGAAATCATGGAATATTGCGCATACAAATAGAAATAACGTAGCGCATATTTATAGTGAGACACTTGTAACTCAATCTCGTTTTTCGGTCTCGTTTTCCTAAAAATTCAATTTTGAAAACTATTATTTTATTATGTATGTATTTTATTAGGTATATGGCGTCTAATATATATATTTGAGGAGTTATTTCAATCGTTGAATGTTCAAATAAACACTGTAAGCAATAAATGTTCTGAATATTCTACACTACTAAAAGTATTAAACTAAAGTATTAAAGTAACTAACAGTATTAAAATAAGATGTTCAATAAATAAATATTACACGAAATATTTGAAATGTTTGAAAGAGAGTCATGCGTTTTATTTAAGAAGATGTTTTAACGTTGCACGGTTATATAATAAATATTTTGTGACACATTTCTTTTTGTTCTTCATTACAGTATCAAGATAATTATTATTTATGTTTAAACAATTTATCCTAATTCGTTCTTTCCGTAATTGTAAACACAATAGTATATGTGCGTGCAAAGATTAGTATAATTCTTAAAATTTTTACGGCCGCTATCATATATGCGCGACTTTATAAGTGGTTATCATCTTATAAAGAATATTTATTCTTAATACTGTTATAGAAATATCATACTAAGAATCATTGATAATTACTTATTATCCAGTATTTTTAATACTGAAAATAAGTAATTATCAATGATTCTTAGTATGATATTTCTATAAGGGTAAAAGTCTATAATTGTAATATTATAGGGGTTAAAGCCTGTATTAGACTAAAAATTATAATTGAGCTAATCAAGTAAAGCAGATTTAGATTACTTGATTAGTCCGATTATAATCTTTAATCCTCAGTTTAATACGGGCCTAAAAATAGATTTATATGCATCAATGATTTTCATCTCTTTAGACACAGTCTAAGCAAGTTTTCGAAATCTGTAAATAAAAGTTTTTTTTTATGATATAAACATGACTGTTAAAACGTGAGTGAGTGAGTGAGTGAGTGAGTGAGTGAGTGATTGTGTGTGTGTGTGTGTGTTACATTCCATATATATAAGTTGTGTTAAATTTTTTAACAAATTCCCGCTTCCTGTTTAAATGTTGGAGCATGCACTTATTAATAAAGCCAAGAATACTCATATTGTTACTAATTGTTAAGATTTTTTGGAGTTGTTAAAATATAGTATTTTATATGAAATTTTTATTGACAAATTTATTTTTTATTTAAAAAAACAGATAATATAACAATTACTTAGTAAATTTCATCAATTTTGCTTTAATTTTTAGGAATGTTTAAACTTTTATTTTTTAGAAATGTTTATATATTTTATAACGTTTTTCTTAGATATCTTATATATAAGACTATATTTTTAAGCTGTTTGTTTCATAATAACATTACTCATATCATTTTTTAAGACTTTTGTGTACTTGACGTATTTTTCTTCAACTTTTGTGATATACATATATGTATATTTATGTTATTTTAATAGCTTACAGTGTCTAGGACGATGTTACGCCTCCAGATGAAGTTTCTAAGTATCTGCATCGGTAGAATATAGCGGTGTGTCCTACATGCAGTGTTCACGCCGCAACTTCACTTTCTGGACTGATTGCAAGCCGAGCGATTGCATTGAATCGGGGTAAAACGAGTCTATGGGTGCATTCGCATCGGAATCGGTTCTAGTAACTGAAAAAGTAAAACCGGCTACGTTTATATAGCGTAAGTGATATCTGGTGCACGAGGGTCAAGAACGAGTTGTTCGGTACTATCGCGCGCACGTCCTCTTTATCTTCAAACTAAAAAGCAATTTATAACTGAATTGGCCGAAGCTGCAATTTTATTTGAATAGTAAAGTAAAAGTATCGATTATGTTGAATACATCCGTATCCGGATATATACGTATACTTATCATTATGGAACTCAAATATTTTTTATTTTAATTTTTGGTTTAAATTTTTCTATGTCTATAATAATAATCTTCTTAACATTTGTATCGGTTTATGTATATTTTGTTTCAAAACGTTTTGAATACTCTTTTTATGTAATTTGGAACGCAGTCAAAGTGATCTAATGAGAGAATTAACCCTTAAAGTCCTGAGGTTTTTCTGCCGATTAAATTTTAATGAGGTGTATGTATACTGAAATGTTCTTGGTTGCCAATGATAAATCCGAAATCAGAATTACAAAAGTTAAAATAGCGAATCCAATATGGTGACCAGTAAATATTTAAATTTTATAAATTTGAACTAATCGGGTAAAAAATTGGTACGTACAGTTTTTTAGTCGTTGATGACAAATCCGAGATCAAAATTGCAAAATTCAAAATGGCGGATTCAATATGACTGTCAAGAAGTATCGTAATTTAACAATTATGAACGAATTTCCTGTTAAATGAATATATAGAGCTTTCTAGTCGTTGATAAATATAAAGTCTAAATTATAAAACTCTCAAAATCTCATACATATACACACCCACCCA